GCATCCCACAGGTAGTGTAGCCTGTAAATTGAGGCACAGGACAAGCAAGGCAGCCACACACTGGTCCGATGATCAAAGAGCGAGAGACAAGAAAGACGAGGCTCACCAAGCCATTTATCTCTCTGCCCTTCAGTTAATCCCAAGTTATTACATAATATTGTGAAACGTTGAGTGTGTGATCTGGGTAATGCCTTTTAATCTCACCTAGCAGATTTCATACAGGGATTGCATCTTGTGAACAGTGATTGGTTCGCTGCGGACAGAGTATTAACCATGGGCACCTCTGCAGGACACCACGTGGAGAGATTCTAGGATTCCAATTCAGCTAATCCTTTGGTTGAATGCCTATTAGGTTCTGTGCGGCGGGAAAGCCACTACCTGGAATCTCAAGAGCTGCATTCATAGGAAAGACGACTTTGGATGAACAAGTGCACTAGCTGAATGAAACAGAAAGCAGGCAGCCAGGTGATCTCCTAACAGGGTTTTTAATTGAATTTGGGGACCAACAGAAAGGGAATTTCTTGTGGAGAAAATCTTGAGAGGGCTTCATGGTTGTGTAAAAACTTTAAATGAAATCGTGTGGCTTTTTCAAAGTCCAACAAAAAGATGACCCCTATAATAGTATTAAAATTTCTAAATAAACGGCTTTTTGTGATTACTGTAATTTATCGGCAAATACAATAATGAGCTACTCTTACCAACTGCTTGAGCTCTTGGTTTTTAGGTACTATACTTTTTTCCCCTCCTAGAGAAGAATTTTATTGAAAATCACAGCCTGCTTTCAAGGTGTGGCGTGGGTATGTTTGTGCATGACAGAGTGGCTGAGAAATTGACAGAAACACTCGTTTTTCAGCTTTTGCATCTGCATCTCTTTTTTTAATCAACCATTTTATTTATTTATATATTTATTTATTTTTAAAAATCGTGTCATTGGGGGCTCTTGCAGCTCTGATAACTAACAATCCATAGCGTCTATGTCTTTAAGTCAATATGCTGCCATACTCTTAGTCATTCTTGAATTATCTCCTATGTGCCTGACTTCCTTTCTTGATCTTAGTGTAATCAAGCCTTTTGGGCTGCCTTTCTTTGGTGTACTGGGGAGACGTCAAAAATAATTTTCTCAAGGACCATCTTAAAGAAGGAAAGTTATACTTCAAGAATTCTGTGGAGTGCATTTTCAAGTTCAGTCTGAGTGACATGGATAATCCTGGATATTGTGTGATCGGTCTTATTTTATGGTCCATCATAGATAGTCACACAGACTGGGATGGCCCCCAAATATAAGGAGATGTCTTTGACTCAGTATGTGCTTTCTACATGGGAAATACAGTTCTTAAGGAAGCGGGGGGAGGCCTGTAAAATAAATACATGAACAACATATGAAGTAAAAACATTGGTATGTAGTAAAATGTTTACAACGGCGCTTACTCCTCTCCGGAGAAGCCCTGTGTATGACTCAGCAAGGACTCCGGGCAGTGAGTGTGGTGTGTGGAGCAGGAAGTCTGCTAGCTCCCGTGGTTAACTGCTGTGCTGATAACAGAAAGGGGAACGGATTTCAGGGTCATTGATACACAGTTTTGCAGAAGGGCCAGGGGGAAACCACAGCCAAGCTCATTCTTATTGCAATCCCCTTTTAGTCTGTGGCAGATGCCATTTGGTGACTGAAGGTGCAAATGATTCCCAAGGGGCTGGTGACTCCATTCAGCTTCTAATTGCCTTTTATTTTATTGTGGGTACATCTGGAGACCCATTATCTCCCACAGAAAAGCCCTTTAGCCTGTGAAGTAATATCAACCTTACTCACACCGAAACAAAGAAGTATCAGATGATTGCAACCCTGGGAACAAAAGCTCCGTATTTCCTTTTGGAGCGGAGTGGTGACACCCCCTCCCCTCGCCCCCCCAAACTGAGCCTGGTCCTTGGACTAGCCAGTTGAGAGCCTTTGTTAATGGAGTATCACAAAGGGCTCTTTGTTACAGAGTCTGCTCTGATTTGTTCCAGCAGGATCTGTCCATTATTTGGCCCTGCTGCCTGGCACCAGCAGCAGTTTCTTCAAAAGCACCTCGAATCCCCTCGTTTTCCTTTTGTCATGAAGATTAGGCTTCAGCAAAATAATTACCCCCCTTCTGGTTCCCCCATCCAGCTGAAAAGCAGAAGGCACAAATCAAGTGGTCTCAATAGACATGCTGCGACTCTGACCCTGTTCTTCGCCCCGTGTGGAATCAGATGCTGATGGCCTGTTAAGTCCAGATCCTCGGGGTCCAGGGATCATGTATTTCCGGCTTCTCTATTGAGCATGTGTTGTGTTTAATGGGCTTAAGGCCGCTCAAAGCAGTCCAGAGGTAGCCTGGTGGCTAGAATCATATTCACTGTTCTGGCAGAAGATGAGGGAGATGAACGGTGGGAGTCTTGCATGAAATGAGATGTTCAGTTGGGGAGGATGACATCATGTTTCTGTCGCTGGAGAGTACGCGTTTTTACACAGTTATTGCAGTAAAAACCCTCTAGGGTATAGCACCTTTTCTTCTGGCAGCTCTGGGGGCATAGTGGGCTAAGCATTGGGCTGCTAACTGGGAGGTCGGCAGTTCCAACCTTACCAGCCCCTCCTCAGAAGAGGAGACGGACTCCTGGGACGAAGACTTACTCTTGGCCAGCCTCGGGAGCTGTTCGACTTTGCCCTCTTGGGTCATGATGAATCCGAATCGACTCATTGCTTTGAGTCTTCTTTCTGTGCTCTCATTCGCTCCCTCTCTCTCTTTTTGTTTCTTTTTGACAAATGATCCCTTGCCCAAGTGAAAATCCCGAGCCTTGTTCCTTTTAGATTCCAACGTTGACAAGAAGGTGAAGCGTCTCTGTATCAGCCAGGAGCTGGCTACCCTCCAGATTTGCTAAGCGGGGTTCACTTGTGATCTCGAGTGGCCATTTTGGTCACGCAGGTGCCTACGTTTTGGGGTTCCCTTACTCAAATAAGAAAGCATTGTGTATACAGTGCTAAATTTCTACATGAAGAATTCTGAAGGGATTCATTGCTGCCAAGCTTGGAGACCTGGTGGGTTTAGTAAGCGACCACGGCCGTGAAATGGGTGTCCCAATACAGGAAGGCACATGAATCTGCTTACACCATACTGTTGTCTACTCCGTGTCCAATCGCATTATGAAAAAGGTTGAGATATGTCGAGGGCTACCAAAATGTGACATAGATACAAAGTGTGAACACACAGTGATGGAAACTGTCCCCGAGGGACTTGTTGAAGAAGTGTTGTTTTACAAACATTCTGTTTGTGAAAGAAACACACCGTCCGTGAAGCACAATCAGAGGTGTGCCCTCTGAGGCTGAGCACAGAGTGGGCCAGGTGCTAGTCTTT